TACCATGGTACTGGAATTCGGCGGTTGCGAAACCACCGCAAATACCATGGTACTGGAATTCGGCTGTTGCGAAACCGGCGTTTGCGAAATCACCGCAAATACCATGGTACTGGAATTCGGCGTTTGAGAAATCACCGCAAATACCATGGTACTGGAATTCGGCGTTAGAATCACTGCAAATACCATGGTACTGGAATTCGGCGGTTGCGAAACCACCGCAAATACCATGGTACTGGAATTCGGCGGTTGCCAAATTACCGCAAATGCCATGGTACTGGAATTCGGCGCTTGCGACACCACTGCAAATACCATGATACTGGAATTCGGCGGTTGCAAAACTTCCGCAAATGCCGTGGTACTGGAATTCGGCGGTTGCAAAACCACCGCAAATGCCGTGGTACTGGAATTCGGCGGTTGCAAAACCACCGCAAATACCATGGTACTGGAATTCGGCGCTTGCAAAACCACCGCAACTACCATGGTACTGGAATTCGGCGGTTGCGAAACCACCGCAAATACCATGGTACTGGAATTCGGCGGTTGCGAAACCGGCGTTTGCGAAATCACCGCAAATACCATGGTACTGGAATTCGGCGTTTGCGAAATCACCGCAAATACCATGATACTGGAATTCGGCGTTTGCGAAATCACCGCACATGCCGTGGTATTGCAATTCGGGGGCTGCACGCGCCGCAGCGTGTGCAAGGCTCATATACACCACGCTACAGGCTACTTGGTACGCAAACCGTTCACGTATACACAGCGCCGCACCATTTTCTTCGCTCGCGTTGCGCGCGGCGCAGGTTGTACACTGCTCGCATACACCACGGTACAGTTTGCCCAGCACGCATACACCACGGTACAGCTTGCCCAGCACGTAGAACCTCAACGTACACCGCGCCTCAGCATTATCCTGATTCTTTGTAGATGTAGCGAAACAGGGATAGACATAGCGGTCATGAAACCTCGCGGAGAATGAAAACCCCAGGGATGCTTTTTGCAGGTTGCGCAAGACCATGGCAACTGCTAGGTTGACAGTTCCTGTTTTCGCCCTTGTGGCTTTTTGTGTGTGTGGAACCCTGTCAGCAAAGGAGAACAGTATATGTTGTAGGGGGTTGGGGTGCATCACAAAGGCTCCAGAAGAGACTCTTCGGTGCATGCAGCGTAAACGTACCTGCAGACCAGTTCCTGGGCGCTGAGAGCGCAGCTGGATTGGTCAACAATGAAAGTCAGGCCCGTTTCCTTTTTCCAAAACAAAGTTTTCAGTGTTCAGGCAGTGAAGAGCGCAGCAGTACATGCCAAACATGTTCAGCCTGCACTTATCAACAGTTTATCAACAGTTCCCAGAGCAGCGTGCATGTCAGGATTTTCACTGTTTCATTCTTGGAGGAAAGCTGTTTTGGACAGTTGCCAGAAACACATCAACCAAAACAGAATCAGCCTTGAGGCAAGATGAGGTACCCAGAACTCCACAAGGTTTTAATGTCCGTCGACATCAACCTTAGCTTGACAGATGACAACTGATTTGGGCTAGTGTTTGGATGCACAAGTGTGTGTGTGTGTGTGTGTGTGTGTGTGTCTGTGTGTGTTTGTGTTGTCAGCCTTAGTGTGTTGTCCCATTGGAGGTCCTTTATGCTGCAAATGTTCTATTCTGTCTCTTGGCCTCGTTCCTGGCTGCGATTCCTACAATACCAAAATCCAGGAAGCCGTTCATGCAGGCTGCTTGACCGTGTGACCATGGTTTGATGATCTCACTTGATGTCTGCTTGAGGTTGCCCTGCACGTCGTAGAGGGATGTTGCAAATGTTGCAATTCTGCAGGCACTTTGGTACCTCGGGTTGGTCGGAGCGATGCCTGCAGTGACAGCTTTCGTCCTGCTTAGCTACCTTAACTTGATGTCTGATGCCTTCTCGGAGTACTTGGAGCACCCTGCCTTTCAAATTTTGTTCCGGGATTGACCTGTTTACAGACCATAGCTTGTCCCACAGCTTTGAAAAGTGCAGCCGGTTTAGCTCACAAGAGTATGCCTCTGCATGACCATCACCAAGCTTGTCAACAGTGTTCCTGCCTGCATAGCAGAAGGGTTTCAATTTAGGTGTTGCGGTCCAGGGGTCTAGGAGGTGAACAAGATCGTCGCGTGCGTTCGCGAAGCTTTCGCAACGGGCCACATGTTGGCGTGCAAGCTCAATGCCAGGAAAAACTGATGTGCAAGCGCGACAACCAAGGTAGCACCACCTGAGCAAAATCTCAATGTAAAGACCATCCGAACGTGAATTAACTCAACGGATTTCTGCGTTGTGCTTGCGCCTCTTGAAGCTAAGCGTATCGCTGAATGAGCATGTTGCAAGCTGAACAGAAAATGCCGCTTCCACACGTTTGCAGTTGACTTTTGCAGGACACTTTGCAAGCGGCGGCGGATTCAGCGCTTCAAGGCTGAGATACGCCACAAAGGAAATGTCACAAAGCACCAACAGCCTTAAAGGTCAACACCACGCGCCTTCATTTGCAACGGTTGTGGCTGCTATAAAAGCAACAACAAGCAACAAAATATGTGAAGAACTACAGCGAGCGGCAGCCTTAACTGCGAGAGACGACCTGTGCTTCAAACCAAGTTCAATAAGACCGAGAGCGCACCCACGAGTTGCCTTGCCAAGCTTTTCACTCATGCCACATGTCCTCCACTGTCACTACCACCAGCAGACATTTCGTGCGTCATAAAGTTTGAACCGTCGGACCTCATTTGTTGTTGTGGGTGCTGGACTTTCCATACATGTGGTCCGGGCATGTCCGGACTAAGGAATGCGGCTTTGTGCATTTCTGCCATGGCACTCCTTTCTCTTTGGGTGGGCGCCTCCTCAAATTCTCAGAGCAGTGCGTAAGACCACAAAAATGCGTGTGTGTGAAACACTGATGATATTCATCGCTGCCTTGACTTCAGCTGAGGCGCGGCAGACTCGGTTGGAAGTCTGGGTCTTCAGCCTTTGAAAGAGGCAGCGAGTTAAGTCTTGCAGCGTGCGGTTCGCGGGCAAAGTCTGTGTTTGCATATTTTTCTCAGTGGTCTGCATGCTTTTGCATTGGCTGCATGAGGCTGGTCTACAAACATGGGCGCCGCCCGCATTTCTTCTGAGCACAATAATGTGCCTTGGGAGGTGACCTCAGCCTCTTCAGTAATGGATCGTTTAAAGGACATGGCCTATCGATGGATCGCAGTTGCAAGTAGATAAGAGGGACTCGAACAGGAGGTGTTGGATTTCAGCAAGCAAGGCCGCCAGGCAAATCTTTACAGGATGGGTCAACGCCGTGCAAAGTCGAGGTGCATGCTCATTGTCTACAACCTCACGCATGTCATCGGGACTGTGGAGCAGTCTGTCGAGCAAGACCTGCCTCTGTGTTTCCAGGCAGGTGGAATGCAGGACATGGGATGCCTTACGCTGCAAAACCAACGGGTGCAACTAAAACAGGTGGATCAGTTTGTTGTTGTAGGCACACGCAGCGGAATGCAGCAGAGGGGTTCTTTCCCGTGACATGTTGCAAGCCCAGCAGTCGTTCTGTCACTTGCAGGTCACATACTGGGCGCTGGTAACCCTTTGGGTTACCTCCTTTGTCCGCGTACTGCTGACAAGGTTGGCATGACATGCAAATTTGCCGAGCTAGCTTCTTGAAGCTGGTGCATCAAGTGTTCGATCAAGTTCTGCACCTTCACAGGCCTGGACAACCAACTGATGCTACAGAAATGCATTGGTCAACCTCTCATGGTCTGCTTTTTTGTACTGCATGCAAAGCCCGGTTCCTTGCCAGCAGCTTGGACATGCGCGGGTCACGTTGATGGTTGTTTGCTGCCTGTGTTTGGTGAGGAAACCGCATCGCTGTCGGCATTGCACAAAATGCTCGGCGTGCGTTTTGCGGATGGACCATCATTGCCCTTGGCTTCGACAATGTATAGGTGGGCTACTACTGAATATTACAGAACGAGCACACCCACCTCAAGTCACAGACCGCTGCTGAAATGAGCAACAGACTTCGCAGGCTTTGCGAACTACAAGTACTTCGTGAATTTCATAGTCTACTCTGCGCTGGCTTTAGCTTTTAAAGCTGTGACAATGCTCCTGTTCATGATCAAGGCAGGCTTGATTCCGCATGCAAGTCACCGATGCGTCCACCCAAGATGTGCAGGCTTTCCAGATGGATACCTCTTTCTGTACGCGGCTTTGGCTGCTCTCAACTGAAGTGCTCATCATCGCCTTGGGAGGAACCATGCTGCTTTTTTCAGGCCACACTCTTTGTCACCGTCGGCGCCTAGAACAGAACCCTGACATGTTCAAAAAGTACGGGTTCAGTGCTGCCTGTGTAGTTTGACAGCTGCGCAGGTTTTCATCTCTTTCTGGTGGCGCAGGGCATGACAACAATCGAGTACCTGACCAGGATATGTTGCAATTGCACCTGCATCTGCAGAAGCGGCAGGTTGCAAAGTTGACTTGTCTGTTGATCGCATCAGGAATGAGAAGAGCGACAAGAAAATAGTCTTCGATCAAGGACTAGTGGGAAATGTCCAATCTGCACTTGGATCGAACCCGCTGTCTTGGTGCCGTGGCAGTGTCTGAGCATGCTCTGTAGTCCTCGGAGATGTCTTTGCAAGCAGTGTTTTTAAACGAAATTGACGGATGTTCAGTTTGCTGTTCTGCGAGAAGGTTTCTGCCAGCCTGCCCGCCAAGCGGAGATGGCTGCACGTTTCCTTACATGGTGCTGTGCCAGGAGGATGTGAAGGCATTCAATGGGGCGCGTGGAGTTTACCATGCATCGTTCTGGAAGCGCCAGATGCGCCAGGCAACAAAGAGAGATTTGGCTGTGTCGGAGATGTCGGAGTCGGACGACCAAAGAAGGAGCCTTGCTGGCTCGATGGGCGTCGTGAAGCAGAAGAATCCCGTGCCTGCCCTAGGGCCCTAGGCATCCTAGGCCAGCTTTCCATCCAGTGGGAGGTCTTGAGTGCAAGGATTCAAGAATTTACATTGAAGATAAGGTCACAAAGGTCGCAAGTTACCGTGCCTCGACTTCGCAACCGTGCTTAGAGAGCACAGCAGAGCCAACTTGCATTGAGCAGCAGCAAGATGGCTGTGTTGCTGCCGACACGGCAGGTGAAGACCACCTGGACGATGTGTAAATTTGTGCACGCTCAAAAAAGGTACCGCTTTTCAAACTTGGAAAGGCCTTGCGCAGCTCAGAAGTGCCCGATGTAAGACCCCTGCAACTTGGACTTTGAACTCGCAGCATCCTAATCTGACGCTATGCGACCGCAGGGGGAACAGTCCTCTTGACCGGCCATCAAGGCTGCACTAGATGCGTTCCATTTCAGATCCGTCAAATCAGTGACTCTTCTAAGCACAGATCCACCCCTCGTCACGTATAACGAGTTGCCAAAGCCATCCCCGACAAATTGCCCAACAGAATGACAAGCTCTCAAACGACCACAGGCAAAAGCATGCACTAGTTGCGGTCATGGTCACTGCAGCTCAGCCCAACTAAGTGCACATTAGTATGCAGAACTTCAATGTCAGCAGCTTTGGCGTTAACAGGACAGATGCTGTCGTCAGTCATGTACCATTGGAATGAACCATCCCGGGCACTGTGACTCAAGGCAGCTCTGTAGTGACCTGATTGTGGCGTTGCTCTGATGTGCAGTACCGCAGTGACAACTTGGTAATGTCGCTCCAGCTTTTGCACAGGGGCTCGCAATTTCAGATGTCAAAGCTAGAAGTCTCTATAGAATCATGGCTCGCTGTCCTTTTGGCACCCCCATCTGCCATAAGCTCAAAGGGACCCCCTTCTTTGATCCATAAGGCGCAGCGTGAAACGCCAAGCTCGCGCAACTTTGCCTCCGAAAGAGGCATTACACCAAGCGTATGCTGCATCTTCCTAACTCCTTGCGAAGCAATGTTTCAGTCGCGGAAATATGGTTTCACAGGAGCGGAGACGAAGTCGTGGTTGAACCTTACCACCAAGGTCTTCCGCTCCAGGTACGTGGCCGCCACTTTGAAAGCGTCTGTGGTAGCCTTTGTCAAGGCATCAGCCAAGTTGATGTCGGAGGGCACCCACGTGAGACAGTATTTGCCATCATCTCGGAGGGCCTTCTGGATCGCAGCGACCTCCACACCGGCACAGCTGTTTGCCATACCCAACAGTGGGGATTCAGAGCTGCTAACAGCATCATAAAGGCCCTTGGAATCAGTCACCCAGAGTGACTCCATGGACAATGCTAGCTCCACCGTGTTGGTCCTGGTGAGCCTTTCCCCATGGAGGATAGCCCGCAGCAGTCGGACCCTCCATCCACGGTCCTAGGCCTCGTAGAGGCCTTGACTCCGTGGAGTTGGTACCCTTGGCTGGGCGGTCAAGCTTCCAGCTCCTCCAGTCAATGATTGACATCTTGGCCTCTGCTCCCTGAAGGATGCTTGGCTCGGTGAACCCTGTGACGTATCCGCCTGTAGAGGAACCATCTCCCCAGCTCTTGTGGCCAGCGTCCCAGAAGTAGAAAGCCACAATGTCTTTCCATGTCAACTTCTCAGCGTCGCTTTTGTTGCTGAAGTTGAACGAGTGGAAGTACAGGTCCTCCTTCGCCGTCTTCTTCATCTCCTTCAGGATGCTGTTTGCCTCCTTGAGGTTCGAGACCCTTGGGTCAGTTAGGGCTGAGGCTGCAATGTTTACACGGGCACAGTACTGAAAAGCTGTCTGAACAGCTCTCCATTGAGCCTTCATGATGAGGCCTCGGCATTGGCTGACCTCCTTGTCCCTTAGCTTGTGCTCGGGTCCGCGGCTAGCCTCCTCAGAGATCTCGACCGGCTGCAGGGAGTTGGAAAACGTCTCTTGCGTCACCCGGATTGAAAAGTCTTTGAGCTGCTGGACCTCTAGTCCTGCGAAGGTGAAAGAACCTTGCCTCCAAGGGCTTCACACATACATTTGTTTCAATTTCTCCCTGATCTGAAGCCACTCGGGATTGCTCATATCACCGGCGATGATAAAAATTATCCACGTGCGTGCCTACACGCTCGATGACGCTTGCATCCACGGAGCTTCTAAAGATCTAGATGCAGCGGTCTACACTGTTGCGGCGGCCTCCGATCTTACCGATCTTGCAATCGGTATCTCCGTCCAGAGCCGCCCACTGGAAGAGGAGGTTGCGATCCAACCGGCTGGTCCGCCAGTTCCGACAAGGGCTTCCATGTCAACAGCCAGCGCATCGGTATTATGCGGTCACGCATCGTCTGCTCGTCAAACTTCTCCCGAGCAGCGCGGAGAGCCTGACTTCGGAGGACCTCCGAAGCTTCTCGGGCCATAGCTTCTTGCATGTTGGCTCTCTCGTCCTTGGAGAGCTTGCGAAAGTTCACCTCCTTAGAGTCGCTGGGTCCGAGGAGCTTGTCCTTCTGAAGAAATACCTTCTCCAGCAGTG